AAACTTTTAATTGTTTAAAATTTAATCGAATGATTTATAATCAAATTTTCCCACCAATTTCGCCCAAAATACATGATGAACACCTTGCTTATACTGGAGAAAATGGTCAAGACTTTTATTTTCCCTCAGCCAATTACAAGCTGTCGCAAAGCGAATTGAGAAAAATTAAACAACATTTCTCCACCATATCAGATGTATTGGGTTTGCAACTTATGTCTTTTAGCCACGAAGGAACAAAATATGGGTGGCTTAGAACAAAAGATGGTTATTATATTGGATCAAAATAGATTCATTGAAATGAAGATTGGTCACGAATTAATTACACCGTTATGGTAAAAATTGAAGTTGATATTTATACAAACTATCCAAAATGACTATCAGTATTTGAAGTTCAAGATTTCTATGCTATTGTTGAGTATTATTTAATATATAAATTTGAAGGGTCTAAAGCAATGTTAGCTTATATTCAATGGACATCATCTTTTGAAAAAGATAATGTTGGTTTAAAATCATTTAGACGATTGGGTGCATATGCATTTATTGACACGTCTGCAATTGATCATTGTGTTGGGTTTATTGAGATTGCAAATTTATTTTATATTGTAGACAAAGAAGTTGACAATGAACAATAATATTTTTTAAATTATCTTTTTCACTTGTTTTGTAGTATAGTAAATATAGCGGGGTTAGAAATGTTAATTCACCAGAACTATTTCTGTTTATTTATTGTACAATTACAATATAATTTCAGTATATCTTAGTTAATACAGTAGCTATTATAGTTACTAATATAATAAAGCAAAAACACTGTATACTTTTTGTACAAATCTTATACCAAAATAATTGGACAATTTTATTATTATAAATCATTATACAATTATTCTATATAATTATTAAATAAATATTGAACAAATTTATAAAATTGTATAATTTTTATACAATTGTCGATAAGCTAATATTTTTTGATTTTTACATAACAGTATAAACACTGCACATAATGCTTCTATTTTGAATAAAAACTGTATAGGGCTAACAAAGATATAACATATTTAGGATAACTTTTTTTTATAGAGTAACAAGGCTGTTCTTATTATAATTTTAATTGTTCAGGACAAAAAAAAGTTCACAGATATGTCCACGGATGTCCCATCCTGGACTGTTTGCTATCTGTATCTATGTCTCATGACAATACTGCTTCTAGCTATTGGCTATATTTATAATTCTGCTTTAATGATCTATCTTGTTAAAGACTAGCCTAACACTATGAAATTACTTAAATGGCAAGCTAAATTACTTTTAGCTATTTCTAGTTAATATTGCATTAGTGTTGGTAAATCTTAACTCTTTTTTATTATAGACATTTATATAGATATAACTAGAGCTTCAAATTGGTTCTTTTAGATGTACAGGAGTAGGTTATATTCTCTATACCAAATAGTCTTCTATAGTCATTTTACTAGTGCTAGAGATCTTTCCAATTCTAGTTAAAATATGATCTTTTACCATCCCTTCGCTCAATTTATTAACTATATTATACCTAATAACACACCTACTATTACTACTAACCCTCTTCCTGCACC